GGTTGTGTGTATAACCCTTCTGCTAGTTTCTTTGCAGTGTTTCCCGGGACCTGTGTGTTTCTGTCCCTTTTTAGGATAGGTCCTCGATGGGCAGCCCCTCTGCTAGGTTCAGAAACCGGGTGCTCGACTTGTAGTGCTTATTTCAATCGTCGATATATGGTCACGACGAGGCGTTCCCCATAGCGACCCCTAGAGGACGCAGTGTCTCGTTCCCTACTCAGGGAACCATGGTTACATAAGTAACCTGAGACGTTCACCACTAGGGGGTGTTGATCTCAAAGTGAACCCATGAACCACTTCTGGTTGCCCAGTTTATCATGTGACATGAAAACCCACGAAATTGTACTATAAAAAAGAAAGAATTCAGGGCCAGATGTTGTGGGTTAAACAACATATAACTTCCCTTTAACACAGATGGCTATATAGTTTAAAAAATGTGTAAAGACATTCAGTACTTTCAACCTATCACATCATACCCTAAAAATAACAAAATGAGCTTACGATAGAATTAAATCCACCTCCTTCTCCTGACTGATAACACTACTCTTGCCTACTGGTTTTTATAGACAGCTCTAACAAAAACACTTAATTAAATAATTACACAAATCAATTAATTCATTAAATAATTAATTTAGTTAATTGTGTTAAGGGTTTGATTATACTTAAATAAAACGCATTACACAAGCACTAATATTTAATAATATTTAAGTGTGATTATTTATTAAAAAAAAAATATATTTCTAAAAAAAAACAAAACATTTCCATTTGTTTTGTACGTTTGGTCTGAGTTCTTGATGCTTTTACAACGTTTTCACCAGCAGGTGTCGCCAGCATGTGCTGTTTCAAGTGATTCGAAACATCGAATTGATTCAATGCTTCGAAAAGCTTAGTTTCTCCCATCACTAATTGTGACAGTGTGAAGTTTCACACAAACAGAAAATAGTGTAGTTCCGCGTAGAAAATTAAGGTGGAGAGCTGTCATGAGTTTACTGCTTATGGCTTAATGCAATTTTCAGTTCTGAATGCAAACCAACAGTTGGACTTTTTGTAGCAGAAAACAATACACAGTAATGTTTTATTTTCATTACATCTATCTCACAATTTTATTTATTAAATGAATATACATATTGATAACCAACCAACAGTGCAAAAAAGCCTAATTACATTTTGTAATGAAATAGTTTGTTCATATTTGTTTTAAAAATGTCACCAAGACACAACGGTTTGTATACAACTCCATTTCCACCAATAAGTATATATATATATATATATATA